AAAATTATTTAAAATATATAAATAAAATATATTTAATATATAAATATAGTAATTATTATAAATTGTATAAAATTATTAAAATTGTTTTTTTCGAAAATAATATTAAAAAAAATTAATAAATTTTTATTATTTTTTATTTAATGTTAAAAAGTTGAAAAATTTTAAAAATTAATGAAAATAAGAAAATTTATTGAATATATTATAAATAATAGAAAATTATAAATAAAATTATTTAAAATATATAAATAAAATTATAAAAAATAATAGAAAATTATAGAAAATTATAAACAAAATTATAAATATATAAATAGAGTAATTATTATATATTGTATAATATTATTAAAATTGTTTATTATTAATTATTAGTTTAATTTGTTGATTTAGAGTGATGGATCTGAGCGAGTTGTGGAGTTTGGTCAGCTCGACGGTTCTGGACACCGACACACGAAGAGTCGGTATGTAGATGCCGACGTTCGTCTGGAGAGGGAGCGAGGATCCGTGAGGCTAAGTTAGCTCAGGCTGAGATGGCTAGGAGATTGCCACCGATCGTTCCTTCGGAACCGAGTGGTCAGCAGAGCGGTGGGCAGCCCAGCTCATCGATGGCTGGCAGTATGCCGACGAGGATACGTATTCGTCAGTCGTCGGCTCCGATCGTCGAGAGTCTGGTCCACTATTATCAGCAGGACGATGACCAGGACGATGATGAGGGCGAGGAGCCTGACTCTGGAGATGAGCAGACCGCGTCACTTCCTCCTTCCCCTGTACGACTGGTACGACCTGCTCCTCCACGACAGGCTGGGGGCCGTTTTGGTGGTACTGCATCCTCCTCTGGTAAATATTCTACGTACTTTAATTTTTTATTGTTAGTTACATATACTTTTATTTATTAATAACATATCATTGATATAGTTAGTCACAATATGTCGTGTATATATCTAACACGTAATTGTCTAGTTGTCTATTTTGTCAATTACATATATTTTTATTTTGTCTGAGGAACAGAAAAGGATTTATTCCGTTGGTAAATATCAAAAAATTTATTCCTAACTTACAATACCTTAATGCACAAAATTTATTTTCATTTCATCTAACAAGGTAATTTTATTTTTAACTATCAAATCTACAATAGGGTATGATTTTCCTAAAAATTTTATTATTATTATTCAAATTTATATTTTTTCTTTTCAAGTTATTAGTATAATTAAAAATAAAATCACCCACTCCTATATTTTGTTCTTAATTTATTAGTATAATTTCTAAATAGAAGAATGAATACTACATTTATATTTGAGCTTTAATGGAATAATTAGTTATTTATACTTTATTTAAAAAAATCTTTTAATTAACAAAATAATCAGTCACAATATGGCGTGTATATATCTATACTTATTTGTTGTATTGTAAATGCAGGTTCGAGTAGCAAGCGGGCTAAGGGTGAGGAGTCTTGGGTCGTTAAAGCCCCAGTACCCGGTGGCCCCAGTGACGGGAGCGTTATCCCTAGCTTTCTAGGGCACATGGCCTCCCGTATGACGTTGCCTGGACCGGACAGGCATGTTAAAGG